CATAAATTATTCCATTAAATATTATTTTTCTATCAAACTCAAATCAAATTTTCTCAAACTCAAGCAAAAAAAATACACCCATCTATCTTTTATTTTTCTTATTTATAATATTATATCGTGACAATATATTTAGTTGCGACAAATTATTTTCTAATAGTGTTATAATTTTATATAAAAAGAATGGTATACTTTATAAAAATAATAATAATAATAATAAAAGTATAAAAAAAACAGAAATTAAAAAAGAAAAAACCCAGAAGATAACATATCCTAAATAAAAAGTTTCTATATCACAATAATTGATGGAATTAAATAATAGAGTTATGGCGATCGAGAATCCAACAGGACAGCTACACTACACTTGTATGATCGATCACGTGAAGATAATTGTGGAATATATATATATATATATATATATAACTTAATTGGGTTTGACAATTAAAGAATCAATCCCAGAAAAGGAAAGGAGGTGAAGAATCTCTTACTATATAAGTATAGTTGGTCAAGAACATATATACACACTATATTATATATATATATATATATATTATATACTCCACCGTCCCACATATCATCTCTATGTTGCCGTTTCTGTCCGTCTCACATACCATGTCACTTTTATTTTTTGGAAAATAATTATACACTTTAATCTCATTTTAAATTTTTTAATTTTTTTTTAAATTTTAATTAAACTAATTAGTTATTTTAATCTTAATTTATAATTATTTATATTATAAGATAATTATTTTTACTAATAGTTTTAATTATCTACTAATTATATCCCTTCTAAAATACCGTATCTATAATGTAGCACACAAGGATACGAAAATAGTATATACGAAGGATATATATGTTTTATATATATATATATATATTTATTGGTAAAGTGCATTTGAATAGTAATAAAAACATATCAATGTCAAGAATCTATTTGTCTGTAAAGTTTTTACTTATAAAACTATAAAACAATATTCCCTCCGTATATAATAAATTTCTATCCATGTAAACCCGAAAATTTAGGTAAACAATAATAAGTAAGTAATTAATAAGGATCTGTTTGGTTCGAGGATTTAGGATGGAAAGGAATGGAATTCTAAAAAATTTTGTATTTGGTTCAAGTTTTTTGAGAGGAGAGAGAATTTAATTTGTTTATATTTTTGTTCCCCTCCAATTTGAGGGAATTTGGAGGGGAGAGATTTTATTAAACAATTTTTGCTTTTTATACCATTTTTAACATTTTATTAAATTTTTATAACATTATATAAATTTTACCATATCTATTGTTATACTTGTATATAAAATTATTTTTTTTTATTTTGATTTTAATAAATACTTAGGTTAATTAAAACAAATCACATTAATTTAATTCAAATGCATTCTAAAATACTTTTTAATAAATTTAATCGAATTTATTTTATAATAAAGTATATATTTTAATTAATTATGTTTAAATAATTTGATTTTGTTTAATAATTAATTTAATTTATATAAGTTGATTTGAATTTGACATGATAAAATAAGACATGCTTTTTATTATATACTTAATTTATATATAATTTTCTGTTATGTTGTTACTATTTAATATGGTTTTTTACGTTATTTCATAGGTTTTGGTGAAATCAAGGAATTGTCTGGAATTGTCACTTTTATTTTGAATCAAATACACAGAGTGTAAATGTACGTTGAACATTGGTTATCATTTTAGTTTTCACATACATTGATTTGTATTTTTTTATGTATTTTTTCTATATTCGATGTTGTATTATATACTTTTTTATTTAATTATATTACTATGAGGTGTTATTTTTAATAATAATAATAAAAAAAATGTATCATCACATATATATATATTTTCTATCAAGTTTTTTTTTTCTTTCAGGGTGCGCTTGTAAGAGATGCTATAACTAACCAAATGTGGTTAGTTTACAATCATGATCGTCATTTAGATGAATAATATGCAGATTGGTTATTATGTATATGGTGTTTGGTTCTTCCGATGCTTTATAATGTAGTTTTTGCTTTATTATATTAGACAAATAAATTTTATGTTATGCTTTATGAATAAATTAAACAAATTTTATTAAATACTTTTATTTTTCTTTATTTATATAATATAGGGGCAAAATGTTAAAATTATTCAATTTTCTTTTCCCCGTCCAACCAAAAACAAAAATATTATTTCCCCTTCCATCGCCTACTTTCCTTTCTATATGAACCAAACACGCTATTACAATTTGGGAGGGGATCAAATGCTGAAAATATAATTTCAGCACATAGCTGAATAATTAAAAAATAATTATGTTAATTTATATCATTAAATTATTTAATTAATATAATTATATATAATTAGACTTTAGGCATTCAGCTATCCATACTGTCACAATTTTAATATTCTCTTTTCTCTCTTCCCCTCCCTTCCCTTTCACTAAATTTCCTCTCCTCCCCTCATTTGAACCAAACAGAGCCTAAGTGTATTAGTAAAAATAATTATGATATAGTAAAAATAATTATAAATTAAGATTAAAATAATTAAATAGTTTAATTAAAATTAAAAAATTATAAAATTTAAATATTAAAATGTGATTAAAGTGTATAATCATATTTCCAAAAAAAGAAATGACAAATCATTTGGAACGGACCAAAATAAAAAATAGAGATAAATTATACGAGAAAGAGGGAATATTAAATAGTGTGTTTTTATGGAATTTGAGTTTTACATTTGAGATTTGAATAATTCTATGATGTGATATAATAAATTTTGATATGATTTTTTTTTTAATTTTAATCTAAAATAAGTTTGAATATAATATAAAAAATAAAAAATAGACGTGTAAATTTATTTAGTTAAATTGTTTGAAAAAATAATTTTTATATAAAGTACATAAACTTGTTTAAATAATATTAAAATAATAAATATATGTAATATATTAATTTATTTTAGAAAAATATGTTTTTAGGGATATGTGGAAAAACTATTTTTGAGGAATCTTTCTTATTAATAGTATAAATTTGATGTAAATTAATAAAAAAAACATATTCAATTAACTTTTTATATTTTATATTATATTAAAATTTAATTTTATATTTATAACTATTATTTTAATTCAAATTTTACTATTCAAAATTAAATTCAAACTAAAAAATTTTAGTTAAAAACTATATCAGTTTGTTTGTTTAGTTTTTAGTTTGATTTTTTTTTTTATGTAAAATATATAAAATCGCGTCGATGATATAAAAAAGGGTAAATTATTTTTTAGTCCCGTAACTGGACCTCCTTATTATTTTAGTCTCGTAAGTGAAGCTATCGCAAACTAGTTCCATAAGTAAAAATTTTTCGTTGTTTTAGTCCTCAGACGCCGGAGACGCCTGCTTGGCTCGCCGGAGGCCATGTGTCCGTCAGGTCAGCGACACCTGACGGACACGTGAATTTTTTTTTTTTTTTTTAAATTTTTTATTTATTTGGTCCAATTTAGAAAAAAATTAAAAAAATAAAATCTACATGTCCGCCAGGTGTCGTGGCTTCCGGCTAGCCACGCTGGTGTCTCCGGCGCCGGAGGACTAAAATAACAAAAATTTTCCACTTATGAGACTAGTTTGCGACAGACTCCTCTTACGGGACTAAAATGATAAAGAGTCAATTACGAGACTAAACAACAGTTATCCTATAAAAAAATAATATTTCTGGTTGAATTATAAATTTTTATAAGAATAAAATATAAATATTATATATATATTAAAAAATGTATAATTTTGTTTTTTTATTAGGTTAAGCGATACTATATATCAATCACTGGTTAAACTAATCTAGTGAGAGATGCGCATAAACTATGAATTGATGGATGAAATTAATTGCAAGTTGTTGATAATTTACGAAGGGGATTTATTATTTTTCCCTTTTTTCTTTCTTTGATTAATTTAGTCAACTTAGCTTCACACAAACATATTTGTGGAGAATTGGGTTTGTTTTTTTGCAAAAGGTTTTCAACATATTTTTTTCAAAATAAAATTAATATATTACATATACTAATTATTTTTATGTTACTTATAGAAATTTCTATATCTTATATATATATATATATATTTCTTTAAACCAAAATGCAAAACATATTTTTATATGGCTTTTTTTCTTTTTTTGTTATAAAAGAAAAAAAAGAAAAAGAATACTTTTTTGCACTACAAGTTTTCGATTTCTAATGATTCTTTTGTATACACTTGTCAAAGGATAGAAAGTTCGACAATTGAGATCGATACTATTGTTTTATATTTTTATATAGAAATTAGTTGTATATATAATTTATGTAAAAATTAAAAATTATTTTGATACTAATACGCTACTATAATAGTGGTATAGATGAAAATAATAAAAAAGTACTTTTAATTAGAACGAAACAAATATTGTTTATATATATATATATTAACTTAAATCTCACTATTTATTGCATATACTAAAAAATATTTAATAAAATATTTTTTTTATAATATATTAAAAATTAATTTTAGCAAAAGCAATTAAATTCGGTCTAAATATAATCAAAATGTATCAATTTTGGTTTCAATTTAAAAACACATCAATTTTAATCACAATATAAATAATTTCAATCAATTTTGATATCAACTTTAAAAAAGCTGACGTGAATGTAACGAAATTGATTGATGTAGCATCTGACTTAGAAATAATACAGTCATATACAATTAGAGACGAAAATAGAAACGGAACATGGTAAGTGGGAGAGAGAGTAATATTTATATAAAATCAAATAATTATTTTAATTTAAAATTTTATTATTTAAAGTAAAAAATCAACTCCAAAACCCACCAACAGCTTAGGGTGTATTGGGCTTGGGCCGATCCGGCACATGCCGGCCCGAGTATATATTAACAAAGGTAGGGTGGAGGCTTATTTTCTATTGGGCTCAAATAAGTCCAATAAATCTGGCCCATTTGCATGCTGGTTAGGCTCTACGTTGATTTGTGTAGGCCCTTTTGGAGTGGTGGTTTTTGGTTCCAACGCTTTTTAGTCGTCTTCTCCGGTGCGTCCAATTCCGCGCGATTCTGTGACATAGCCATCAGATCTCGGCGGGGTATCTGCTGAATTGATTCTATGTGAGAACTCATGGGGGAAAGAGTGAATGAAGTTCTTTTCGAGACGCGCCGTCACGCTTCGAGGCCTTATGTTTCGAACTACCCTCCGCAGCAGCAGGTACTTTGTGCTTGTTTGGAATTTTGGTTGATTGGTTGTTAGTACTGAATCAGTTTCGTTTTTGATTGAATTTTTGGGGTAGTTGATTAGTTGTTTTGTTTTTGGTGTAGTTGAAACCTGGTGGTGCTGGGAGTTTGCTTTCTCATCTTCCGTTTCGAGGTACATTCAGTTTCCTCTAAATTTTGAGATGTTATTCCTCTTACATTACCGATTAGTCTGGGGGAGGATGGAGTGTCCAGTTCGGTTGGTGATATTGCCTTGAAATGTTGATTTTTGGTGTAGCATGAACTGTAAATACGCATTTTTCTTTCGAAGTGTTTATCAATTTAGTTAATTAGATAAAAGATGTTTAAGAACTGAGGTGCTCTTTAGTGTTTACTCTGGTTCTTCCAGTGGGTTTGGATATATGAATTCACTCATCACCCTGTAAGATCTAATTGTACATTCTGATGATGAATTGTGCTTTGGTACCTTCATATCACCTTTATAGATTCAGTTCCATCATGGACGCATGGCCATAATAACAAACTTGGGGTTGTTCCCCTCATGAGCTAGATTTCTGCTAACTAAATTAATTACCAGTTATTATTAGCTCGAATTCCATGTTGTTGGTTCTATGACGCCAAAATATTCGAAGTTGCTGCCACACCTAATAGTTTCATGTCTGATTCTATCCGTGTCATTGCCCTGGAATAGAGGTCGAATACATATCCAGTGGTACTTCTTTTTTCCCGAATATTCTTTGAGATAATGGCTGTATGTGATGTTGTGATAATGGAGATAATGCGTTCCCTGATGCATTGGTAGAGTATATAAGTGTGGCAGTAATTATTTCCTGAAAATATAAGTCTTAAACATACTTTCCCCTATCTTTGGGATGGAGAAGTCATTTATTTATTACTTTTCCTTGGCAATGTATTAGGAAGCATAGTACTGCTAATCCATTTGTATTTGCAATGTAATAATCCGATAATTTATCAGTGACAACTTGTCAATAACCCAAGCCTCTATAATTGTATCCATGCTTCCATATGTTCTGCATATGTCTCATAATGTTCTTCACATATGTTTCATTGTTCTTTTATTTTATATTGTTTTGTGTGCCTGCATGTGTGTCTTAATGATTTTCCTTAATTTCTAATGTATACAATCTGTTTTTTGTTTTTGTCATTGTTGCAAAGGAATCACTCAACTTAAAGAGAAATGGAGTGAGTATAGGCAACCAAAAAGATTCAAAAGGTTAGTGTCCCTGTTTGTATCTGCAAGAGGTGACTATGTTGCTGTAGCTTCCGGAAACCAAATAACTATTCTGCGGAAGGATAATGATTACCAGGAGCCAGTTGGAATTTTCAGATGTAAGATTACCTTTCTTTGGACAGAGCTTGCGTAACTGTTCTAATAGGGTAACTAAGATTTGAGAAAATTATGTGAAACATCTGTAAGTGGCTTCATCAGACACTTTCCACCACTTTGTTGTCCAAAAAGCCTTCAGATTTTCCCCGACTTTTCTACTCCTTGCTAATATCAACCAGGAGAAAGTTCTCTTAATATCTTATTATAAATTTATGCTTCATTGTATTAGTCATGGACTTTGAGGATGAACCTGAGAGCTCTGAAGCTATGTTGTGTCAATTCACTGTTTGATGTTTGAATTTTTCCTCCAGATATTCATAGATTTTGTTGGTTCTGGCTGATGTAGGTCAGAATGCCGTTACATTCAAGTGTGGTACTTGGTCAGAAAGTCATGAATTACTTGGAGTTGCTGATGATTCTGATACCATCTACATTGTTAGACCAAATGGGGAAGAGATGACCCAAATTACCAAAAGGCATCTGAAAGTCTCCTCACCTATTGCTGGCTTGATTGTGCTGGATGATGGTCCTGATAAGAAATCTTGCTTGTGAGTCTTATTTGATCATTTTTGTATTTACTAATTGGGCTTTCATAATTGCAACTGACTTACCAATCTATATGATCTAATACAAGTGCATGGATAATGTTTGCAGGTGTACCTTTACTGTTTTTGTTTCCGATGGTTCATGCCATGATATTGAGATATCTAAGGATCCATGTGCATCCATTTTTCCAACACAGTTACTGAACAATGCATCCATACAAAGACAACGTCCTCTTGAAATTTTGTGCTGGGACTATCACCCAAAACATTCTCTATTTGCAATAGTCAGTAATGCTGGTGATACCCAATCGTCACTTAATGGGAACACTGGTACCTCCCTCTACTCTTCCACTCTATTCCCCCATCCCCACTGCCACCCTACTTCATCAGTCACAAATATGTTATGGCACTCATTCAAGGTTTTTAGTGATTCCACTGATATGACTCAGCTTACATGTGACATCTGTGTACTCAACACACTGAGTTTCCAAAGTATGTCACTTCAAATTGATATTATGCGGCAATCCAGATTAATCTGATCACACTAAATGAAACGGATATTCTTTTTGTAATATTCAAAGGAAGGGTTTCTATTAATAGCCTATCCTCCTTAACTCATGCTTTTTGTAGCAGAACAAATGAACAGACCTAGATCTAAATGTTGTTCTTTTCCTGCAGGATCCTTTAATGTATCTATTTGGAGAAGGAAAGAAAATCTACAAATGGAACCAATTGTTTTTGCCAAATCTGATGGTTCATACACAATAACCAAAGGTTATCACAGTCAACTGTCATCACCAAAACTGCAGTTCTCACCATGTGGAAAATTTGTTGTTTCTCTGGATACAGAAGGGTGCTTATTTACTTTCCAGTTTGATGAAAGTAAAGGTTCTCTTGTACAGATTTCAAGTGGAAAGGGCTGCAATTCAATGGAGGCTATGGATTTGTCAAGCAGTAGGGCACAGTTTTTGCATAATATTCTTGACTTTACTTGGTGGTCAGATGATGTACTTATAGTTGCAAACAGAAATGGCACAGTCACCATGGTTGACATTCTAAATCATGTAAATGTCTCAAAAAATAAACTTGAATTTTCACTGCCTCTTTTAGAAAGAGCTCAAGGGGCCCCAGGGTTGGTTTTTGTTTTAGAGAACACCTTAGATGAAGAAAGCAATGCATCGGAACAGAAGGGACTCATTGGGCATGTCATGACAGATAAGCCTGAACAATTTGATTTTTCCAAGCCAAAATGGAGTTTAACATCACTGGTAAAAAGATCTGGCCGTGAAATTTTTGAGAATCTGATTATTAATCGAAGGTATCAGGCGGCTATTGACTTTGCTGATTGTCATGGGTTTGAAAAAGATGAAGTGCTAAAGTCACAATGGTTATCTTCTGCCCATGGAGTTCATGAAATACAAAACATTCTGTCCAATATCAAGGACGAAGGTTTTGTTCTTTCTGAATGTGTGGATAAAATAGGATTAACCGAAGATGCAATGAGAACTTTACTTTCTTTTGGGCTCCGCCTAACAGAAGCTTACAGATTTTCTGAGTTGGATGATGCTGAAGATGCCCAAATCTGGAATTCTCGTCTCGCAAGACTTAAGCTGTTGCAATACAGTGATAGGCTAGAGACATTTATAGGGATAAACATGGGCAGGTGATAATCAAGGTTTCCCATTGCCTTTTTTAGACTCTTGAGCCCTATAGTGTTATTTGCATTTTTGGTCATCACTGTCTGACCTTTTTTTTAAAAAAAATAAAAACTAAAAAAATTACAGTTTAGGTATTTGTAGCATCTAGCATAAATATTATATTTTTCTTTAACAATTTATTTTCCTGAAGCATTTCTCTTATCATGTGCAGCAGTGTGCAAATTATAAATTTATTGTTTAGGATTTCTTTTAGGGTATGTGTAGGTGTGGCTGTATGTAAAATATAGGATATATTTGAGTCTGCAACATGATCTCATGACACAGATTGATATTCTCCTGAACTTTTGGGAGTCTCTTTAATTCATCTTTGAATGTATAAATTCCTACTTCCTAATATCCTCATGTAACTGTAAAAGATGGGAATCATCTAATTTGGTTACCTAATAAATGAAGCCGATCCAATTTGTGTCTTTCTTGTACATGATGTTAGCATCCTTTGGTTTTCTGACTCTCAGCTTAATGACTTAGCTTTGCAGGTTCTCTGTGCAGGAGTATAGCCGATTCCGTGACTTTCCTCTGAGTAAAACTGCTTTAGTACTTGCAGAGAGTGGGAAAATAGGAGCCCTGAACCTTCTATTTAAACGCCATCTTTATTCACTAACTCCTTCTGTTTTGGAAGTTTTGGCTGCCATACCTGAGACAATACCAGTTAAATCCTATGGGCAGCTTCTTCCTTCCATTTCTTCTCCTACAAATGCTGTTGTAAGGGATGGGGATTGGGTGGAATGTGAGAGAATGGTATCATTTGTCAACAATATTCCTGGAAATAATGAGAACAAGGTCCAATACATGACTGAGCCCATTGTAATGAAATATATGGCATGCCAGTGGCCATCTATTTCTGATCTTTCTTCATGGTATAAGAAAAGAGCTAGAGATATTGATGCCTTAAGTGGTCAGCTTGACAACTGCTTGTGCTTGATTGATTTGGCTGTATCTAAGGGGATATCTGAATTGCAGCATTTTCTTGAGGATATCTTTTATTTGCACCAGCTTATTTACTCTGATGAAATTGAAGATGAGGCCAACTTTTCTTTGAGTCTTGCTACTTGGGAACAACTTCCGAATTATGACAAATTTAAGTTGTTAATGATGCATGTGAAGGAGGAAAGTGTAATTCCTAGACTACATAAAATGGCAGTCCCCTTTATGCACAGCAGGCTTAATGCATTAGTTGGAGGTGATACTATTGTTGATTCACAGAAGACTGTCGATTCATTTTTGGTGCGATGGTTGAAAGAAATTGCTTCACAAAATAAACTAGAAATGTGCTTACTAGTAATTGAAGAAGGGGGCAGAGACAAGGCTGACCATCACTTTTTCAAAGATGAAGTGGAGCTCATGGATTGTGCCCTTCAGTGTATATATTTGTGCACTGAAACAGATACGTGGAGCACCATGTCTGCTATTTTGTTAATACTTTCACACATACGAGGTAAATTCTTTGGGAAAAAAGAATCATGCATGCATTTTATGGATAAACCATCCGTTCATTTCTAGGCCTATCCAATGAATGGAGCAATATGCACATGACAGATGTGCAACTGATATTAGTGGAATATATAATTCACAAAAGTGAATTTTGTGTTATTATGTTGTTCTAGACTTCTAGTACTATTCACCTCCATTTGTGAATTCACATTTTCTAGGCCAATTCAGAATGCAACAATATGTGCATGAAAGATGTGTGGGTGATATTTTTGTAAAATTTAATTCATGAAAGTGGTTTCTTGTTTTTATTATGTTATGCTAATACTATACCCAAGTGTGAATAATGCTGTTGAATCTAATAACTAATACTTTTTCTGAAATGGTCAGACTATGATTCCGTGGATATCAAACACAGATACAAACTTGCAGAGGGCCATATTGAATCTGGCCGATTGTTGGCATATTATCAGGTGGATTCTGCTGTCTATTCTAAGTTGTAACTTCTTTTTCTGCTAAACAATATTATGATACTCCTGTAGGTTTTTAGTACATTTTCACCTGGCCACTGTCAAAGTGATTTTGTGGTATTGTGAGATGTACAGCGGATCTAGTTATCCTTTCCCATTTTGTTCTTTCATTTCCTTAGGGTTTTAGCAAGTCCTTAGTTTAACATAAGGAATGGAAATAAATTTTCATATAGAGTCTGTAATCCGACTATGAAACCAAAAAAAAAAAAAAAAAAAAGAAAAAAAGAAATCCTCCACTTTTGAGAGAAAAAAGAAAGAATCAGATCTATTTGTCTATAACTTTGTGATAAACTGGATTCCTCATAAGATTACTTAGAATAAATTGCAGTTTCCTCATAATTTCTGCTACTTGGGATGGGTCAACCAAGGCAAGCTTTTTATGATGGTTTGATATGATTTGTATTTTTGCATTTTATAAGTGCTTATAAACTCACTGTTCTTATGTATACCACTATTTCTTTGGAAGCAAAAAAGAACAGTGGAGAAACCCACAAACAATATGCTCTTTCTTTTATATGGAAATAATAATAATTTCCTTAAGAACCAGTAATTTAAATATGCAATTTAAGATACTTTCTTAAGGGCATTCAATGACATGTTATAATTTAGCTGCTTTGTCTTACTGAGCTCGACAAATTTAAGTTACTTGGCTGCATTTTATGATATGAATTTTGTTGACTGTGATGCTTAAAGATGTATAACTCGTTTTCCATAGGCTTCGCATGGTCTTATATAATAATATTATTATTATCATTATTATTATTCATTTTGCTTCTTGAGCACTTTGCCTTCATATTATGTGTTCTTGGAAATATGTACTTTATCATTTCACAGATGCATGTACTGATTCATGTCAATTGATAATTCAGGTCCCAAAGCCTTTAAGTTTCTTTCTGGAAGCAAACATGGATGAAAAGGCTGTAAAACAAGTTATTCGTCTTTTACTCTCAAAATTTATTAGGTGGCAGCCAAGTCGAACTGATCATGATTGGGCAAACATGTGGCGTGATTTGCTGTCTCTCCGAGAAAAGGCATTTCCATTTCTAGATTTAGAATATTTTTTGATTGAGTTTTGTAGGGGATTGCTTAAAGCTGGAAAATTTTCCCTAGCTAGGAATTATTTGAAAGGTACGAATTCAGTTACTTTGGCAACAGACAAGGCTGAAAATCTAGTCATTCAAGCTGCAAGGGAGTATTTTTTCTCAGCACCAACACTTACTTCCTCTGAGGTAATTTTTAAATTATAGCATAATGAATCTCTAAGCGATGCTATGGATCTACTTCACCATGTCTGTGATAATACCTATATACAATCATGTATTTAGAGCTTTTTTTAGGCTGGGAGTTCAGTTTTGTGCCAGAAAATGAACTTCCTTTAGAATACTAGAAAACAACAACTTTTTTATTCATTCTCAAGTTACATTGCCCCTTCAAGATTGTTTACTTGATATTTTCTCAGCAGTTAAAACATTGTGAACTCAGCCAGTACTAGCTAGGTCTCAAAACTGTTCCTATAAGAATTATAGCCTAATTCCAGGTGGACATGTCTCTCATTCATTTTAGTATTTTCAACTTTCTGTGGTGTGTCATTCATTATTATAGTCCTTCCAAAGTAATATGCTAGCTATTTGTTTGTTGATACTTCCTCTCACTATGCAACTGCTGCTTAAGTTTTTGAGCTTTGCAATCAATAATTGATCAATCTTCTCAAATGTATATCCAGATCTGGAAGGCGAAGGAGTGCCTGAATATTTTTCCTGGGAATAGAAATGTCAGGGCAGAGGCTGATATCATTGATGCTGTCACCATTAGACTTCCAAACCTTGGAGTGAACCTTCTCCCTATGGCATTCAAGCAAATAAAGGATCCTATGGAAATCATCAAGTTAGCAATTACAAGTCGAAGTGGAGCTTATCTAAATGTTGATGAACTTATTGAAATTGCTAAACTTCTTGGGTTGAGATCAGAAGAAGACATATCAACTGTTCAAGAAGCAATTGCACGAGAAGCAGCATTTGCAGGAGATGTACAGTTGGCTTTTGATCTGTGTCTTGTGCTGGCCAAAAAGGGCCATGGTTCTGTTTGGGATTTATGTGCTGCTCTTGCCAGGAGTCAAGCCCTTGAGAGTATGGATTTGAAGTCCCAAAAGCTGCTTTTAGGTTTTGCAATGAGCCATTGTGATGAAGAATCAATTGGCGAACTTCTTCACGAATGGAAGGATATTGACTTGCTGGACCACTGTGAAACTCTGATAATGTCAAGTGGAAGGGAGCCCTATGAATTCCATGAAAAAAGTTTCTTAACATCAGGAGAATTTTCTGGGCGAACTGATGTCAGTTTTGAGCATGAGGAACCACAGATTACAAAAGTGAAAAGCTTACTCTCTCTGGTAGCTCAAAATTTATCTGCGGAAAATGGCTATGACTGGGAATCTGTACTTAACGAAAACAGCAAAGTGATTTCTTTTGCTTCCTTACATCTCCCTTGGTTGCTCAAATTGAGTGAGGACAAAGAATTTGGGAAAAGATCTGCATCAGATTCACTATCCAGAATCCGGCAGATTAGTATAAGGACCAGAGCAGTGATGACTATTCTGTCATGGTTGACAAAATGTGGTTTTGCCCCCAAAGATGGCTTGATTGCTTCCCTGGCTAAATCAGTTATGGAGCCGCCTGTTTCTGATGGGGAAGATATTCTAGGATGCTCTGTTCTATTAAATCTTGTAGATGCTTTTCATGGAGCTGAATTTATTGAACAACAGCTGAAAATAAGAGAAAATTATCGAGAATTTTCCAGTTTGATGAATGTAGGAATGATTTATAGCATGCTTCACAGTCTAGGTATTGAATGTGAGAATCCAGCTCAAAGGAGGGAGTTGCTGCTGGATAAGTTTCAAGAGAAACATAGAACACTTGGTTCAGGTAATCGATATAATTTAGTTGTCCCAATGTGATTGGTGAACTATTTTGATTTTCACTAGCATAACTTGTATTTGATCTTCCTGAGCTATATTTGTTTCTCTTCCAGACGAATACACTGAAGTACATGAAGAACAATCAACATTTTGGAATGATTGGAAAGTTAAGCTTGAACAACAGAAGAATATGGCCGATAAATCAAGGGTACTAATCAAGTTGATACCTGGAGTGGAAACCTCTCGGTTCTTTTCTGGAGACATGGAATATATACAAAATGTAGTGTTTTCTCTTATTGATTCTGTTGGAATCGAGAAGAAGCAAATCATGGATGACACACTCAATCTTGCTCGTACCTACGGTGTGGATCGTAGCAAGGTACATATGTTTGCTCTATGGATGCTATTAAGAGAGTTATTGATTATGATGTTGATGAAATACTTAACACTTGATCTTTTTCAGGTGCTTTTGTATTACCTGCGTACTATACTTGTTTCTGAGGTATGGAGCATAGATGATATCACGGTGGAGGTTTCGAATCTTAAAGAAGAAATACTTTCTTATGCTGAAGAAGTCATTAAATTGATTTCGGAAATCGTCTACCCTGCAATTGATGGACATGATAAGGAAAGGCTTGCTTTCATATACGATCTACTCTCTGAATGCTACATGCAGCTTCTAAAATCGAAAGAGCTGTCAACTGCAATGGGTCACGATCATGCACAATCCAATGCCCTTGGTCTGGCCCGATTTTGCAAAACTGTTGCAGAAGAATGTCGAAGGAGCTCCTTTATTAAAGGCCTTGATTATAAAAACATAGCTGGATTACAAGTTCTGAACTTGAGTAGCTTCAAAGATGAAGTTTGTTCTCATCTGAATGAAAAGAATGTGGATACATTGGCGGAAATGGTTCAGAACCTTGTTCTTTTGTACGGTGATACCGTGCCTGTGGGTCTTCCATCTGGAAAAGACGTATATGCGCATTACATCTTCGGTTGCTTGCACACTCTAGAAGGTAAAATGGAAAGGGAAACTCATTTTCAAAGTTCTTCGGAAATTTGCTCTAAAATAAGCGAGATTCAGCTGACTTATGATACCTGTAAAAGGCATATGAGGTTCGTCGAATATCAAGTTATCTCGGACATAGTGCCAAGGTTTTTCTCTATAGTACTATTAATCAATGAAAGTTTAAAGGACTTTCCCTGTGACTCAACTGGGAAAGAATGCCTTGTGAAACTTATAAATTTCTGGCTTAGATTAATGAAGGATATGGAGCAGGTGTTACTCGACGATGCTTCGGGAGAAAAGCTCTATTCTGAATGCTCGACTACATGTCTGAAAGTCCTCTTAGACTTGCTCGTCGAGGAGATAGTGTCGCCTACTCAGAGTTGGCATACTGTTGTTAATTATGTGGCTTGTGGTCTTCAACGTAATGTTTCTATTGAAACATTTTATTTTGTCCGAGCAATGATATTTTGTGGATGCGGATTCGAAGCTGTGGCTCGAGTATATTCTGAGGTTGCATTACAGTTCCCGCGAGAGTCGTTTGTTTTTACAACCTCCGAGAAGTCTTCTGTGAACATCCAAGATCTTCCGCAGTTGTATCTCAGCATACTTGAGCCTATTTTGCAAGATGTAGATCGAGGGACCATCGAACGCCAGAATTTACATTATTTCCTGTCGTCTTTGAGTAGAATGGAAGGAGACTTGGAGGATCTGAATAAAGTACGGCTCGTGGTGTGGGAAAGGATTTCTACTTTCTCCGACAACTTACAGTTGCCAAACCATCTTCGCGTGTATGTGTTGGAGCTTTTGCAGTTTATCTCCGGTAACTTAGATGTGTTGTCTTCGGAGTGTCTGGAATTTCTTTTGCCCTGGGAAGGTTGGGACGATTTACAGGATAAAACTACGAATCGAGCTAATTCATCCAACGATCTGACTGCAAAGGATGGGTCGAATAGAGTTATGAGCACTCTTGTAGCTCTTAAATCAACACAGCTCGTCTCGTCTCTCTCCCCCGGCCTAGAAATTACACCCAACGATATCCTCTCGGTGGATTCCGCTGTTTCGTGCTTTCTAAAATTATCCGAACTGGTCACTGATCGATCGCAGGTCGACACTTTGATAGCTCTGTTAGCCGAGTGGGAAGGAGTGTTTTTGTCCGGGACCGAAGACGGTGCGACCACAGAGGAATCCGACGCTATGAACTGGAACAACGACGACTGGGACGAGGGTTGGGAAAGTTTCCAAGAAGAATCGATCGAGAAAGAAACTACGGAAAGCAGTAGCCGTCGAATCCATCCCCTCCATACTTGCTGGACGACTGTTATCCTAAAATTGATCGAATTTTCCAGCCACAGGGACGCGCTGAAATTACTCGACCAAAATGTCGGCAAGAATCACGCAGTATTGGTGTCTGAAGACGACGCTCGTAACGTGACGCGAGCTGCGCTCGAATCGAACTGCTTTTCTGGTCTTAAGATGGCGTTATTGATGCCGTACGAAGCGACTCAGTTACAGTGCTTGGATGCAGTCGAAGACAAGCTCAAGGAAGGAGGGGTCCCGGACATTGCCGAGGATCATTTCTTCCTCGTCCTCTTATTGTTGTCGGGAATTCTACCGACTGTCATGACAAAGGCTTCTTACGGCGCCACTTTCTCGTACATTTGTTTTATGGTAGGTAATTTCTGTCGTCGGTTCCAGGAGGCGCAAGCGACGGGGCTCAAAAATGGCGGCGGCGAGAATGAATCAGAAAACCTCCTCGACTCGCTGTTTGCGGAAATTGTATTTCCGAGTTTTATAGCCGAGCTTGTGAAGGGGAAGCAGCACATTTTGGCGGGGTTTCTGGTCGCAAAGATGATGCACGTGAATGTTTCGGTTGGCTTGATTAACATTGCGGAGGCGACTCTGAGGACGTATTTGGAGAGGCAATTGGAGGAAGGGACAGCATGGGAGACGACGAGGTTTTGCGGAGCGTTGTCGAATGCCGTTGCAGATTTGAAAGGGAAGTTGGGGAATTCGATTCGGAGTGCAGTTGGTTTGCTGCCAAATGAGGTTAGGTGACTCTCTATACTCACTTTTTACTTCTTTGGCTTTACTCGTCATTCTTCATCTTTGTGATTTTTGTATGCATAATTAACTGATTATATGTTTATTATGTGTGGTGAAAGAAAGGGTGGTTATGTTTTACTACTTTATTAGTACTCATTGCTCTCTCTCGCACATATGTGTTTATAAAAGACAATGCACTGTTTGTTTTTTTCAAAGAAAATGCATCTCTTTTTGTAAGATGAAATAAGTATTTAATTGGTGCCCAGTGTCTGGGTGGTGTGGGCTTGGAGCGTGTGTGACCGTCTTATGTCACCTGCTACAAATGGTTCGCCTAATGTGACTTGTTTGTTGGGCCTAATTCGCAGAATATTAGGTTCGATAAGGATTTATCTAGTGCACAATTTCGAAAAATATATTTCTGACACAATAGTAATTTTATTTGATCAACAAATATTTTTTCTAAAAAATAGCAAATATTAGTAATTTATAGCAACAAATTGTCAAAAGAGCACAGTGCTGATTTAATTCCGTCAGTAACATTTTGAAAAGGTTGAAAGTATCAAACTTTCAAAAGTAAATATAATTGTATTCCATTTGTGTTTTGAAAGAGTATTTTGGCTTTTATTTGAGATCTATTTTATTTTATTTTTTCTAGAAAATATAGTGTACTTGGTTTGTATTCAACAAAGCAAATCACACTAGGTACACTAGGTAGATTTATTTGCATTTTAATTTAAATAATATTTTTATTAAAAGTTATGGGCTTAATTACTCCGTGTTCTTGGTCTCAAACAAAAACAAAACCATTATTTATCTCTGATATTATTTATATTCAAAGAAAAGATTATCAGAAAATAGAACATATCTTTTACACAATATATTTTTTCACACAACATTTGATGTATATATATTATAAAATGCAAATTACAAGGCATATTTAAACTAGCCCAAATTGAAAAGGAGAAAGAAAAATAAAAAGATATTGTCATAGTGAGTCGCAAGTAGTTAATACAAAAATCCAGAGATAACCATGGATTGAGAAACAAAATAATTAAGCAATGTAAACAACAAAACCTACAAAATAAGAGAATTTTAAGGCTGCTGCAACATAATATATATATATATATATATATATAATATCTACCCCAAGGTATCTCTCCAACCATTCTCCCCTTGCATTATCTGTGCTGTACGGCCAACATTTTTAGCTGCAACTTTTTTTTATAACAATAATAATAATAATAATAATCTGAATCGAAGTTAATCAAATCACATACACGAATTGAGAGACACCTTCATATATATTTTGAAATGTATGTGTGTAATCGAGTTCAAGTTAAGCCACGTCAGCTTGTTCGTCCTCCTCGCCATTCCTCTCCTTCAGCGAAGTCCATTCTTCCGCCTCTGAAATATTATATTCCATGTTAAAAACAGAAGAGAAGAGAATGTTATTTTTATCATACTCCCCTCCGTCCAATAAAATTAGCCTACTTAGGTCCGGCACAAGATTAAGAAAAATGAATATCAAAGTGATAGATAGTTGAGTTACTTTGAAATTTTAGATAACTTCTAAATCATAAGAAAAAATATGGCAAATTTTTCAAACCAGTGTGGATTATAATCAAATCTTGCCTAGAAAGCAGCAAAGTTTTTTTTACTTACTTGACTTATCTCCGATGGCAGAGAGCCGTCTCTGCAGAATGGACGCCACAAAGAGAAAGATCGAGCACATACCGAACATAACAGTGATGGGGAATGCATTAACCTACAAAACAAAAGCATTCAAAATTTCGACGATTTACCTTGTGCAAAAGCCATGGTTCATATAAAAAAATAAATAAATATAGATAGATACGACGATTCAGAAAGCAAGCATACATTGTATAGCACGATGCAAACAAAGATATTTAGTGGGATCCGAAAGAAGTTCATGATGGTACTTCGAGCCTCCTCGGGGATGTATTGAGATCTCATCTTCATAATGGACGGCCAAAAGATCCCTACACAAGCTTCAAAGGTACAAAACCCGAGAAGTTGGAGGCATCCAGAGAATGAAATGCCACCCCCTTTAGTCGTCGAAGGAGGTACCAAAATCTGTAGGGAATCAGCGCCAAGTTAGATATACTGAATTCCGATATTTAAATAAAAATAAAATTAAATAAAAAGTAGAACAAACACAAATCTTGCATACATTTGTCAGTATGGGAAGCAGAAGGGAGGCAGAAGAAATAACAAACACAATCTGCATGTAGCTCTCCACTTTAACCGAGTTGCGCGCCAACAATCGAGCAGCAATCGAGCTCCCCAACATCGAAGCCAACATAAAAGTTGCAAAGATAAAACCATGGGGAATCTCTTCATCATTTGGACTCAAAGCCGGCGTCCAAAGGAACACAAACGTATACATAGAGCCTTCGAATAGAGACTGTATTGCACCGAGCAGTGCAATTTTCTCATCTGATCATGAAATTTTTCGAATCAAGTTTATCCTCAAGGAAGCACAAATTGCAATTTTTTTTTAAAAAAAAAAAATCGCTAGTAAATGTATTTTAATTACGCGGTTTGGATTTACCTGAAGCAATTGCTACAGCGGCACCCTTGAACTGAGTAAGCAAGTCTTTGTTTTCAGAAGGGTCCCCGTAGTTCTCGGTCCATGATGATAATATTATAGCCATTCCAATGGCTAGAAATACAGCAGCAGCATCAAAAGGAGATACAGGGCCGAAATTGAGAGTGTCGACCAGCAGATTTCCAAACAACCCGGAAAGAATTGCTACAAGACCATTGCCAAGGAATATTGCCTTGGAGAAAGTTAACGAGAGCCATTGCTGATCGAAACCCCTCTGCAAGCCATCATAGAATTCAAAATTGATCACCCACACTTAAAACAAATAACTTATAATCTATAAATCCGCATGTGTTTTGGACTCCTGAATTTATAAAATAGTCAAAGAAAAGGAGCAAACTTTGATGTCCCGAAAATGAAACAATGTTTATCATGTGCAATGAAGATAATTCCACAAAATGAGGTCACGTAGGGATAGTTTCTATCAGAAATTAAGGGTGTGTTCTTTTATCAAACTTCATCAAATCAAAAACCTATTTTATATTTTCTTTATTATTCTAAAAATTAAATTTACATTCAAAATATCACATCACACCTATTTATATCACATAATGCAATTATTCCAATTCAAAATTTTTACTATTCAAATCACAAACCAAAATCCAAAGCTCCAAACAGAAACACCCTAAAATGAGATGGGAAATTTAGTTAATGCAGAAGATTGCATAGGCACCTTACCTTGAAGTGTTCCGCCACAAGCCATGATTCAAATGCAGAAAACAAGAGGGATGTGGCAATGCCGCCAAGAACACGCCCAATCATAAGAACTTTGTACTGAGGAGAGTGTTTGGTTATACAGCTCAGAATGTAAGTAATGCAATAAGTAACACATGCTCTCTTCCGTCCCCTGAAATAACATAGCAAAAAAACTCAAATGGAAGCATATTTTGCAGGGGGGAAACAAAAATTGTTTTTTCAGGTGGTAATCTCACTGCTTATCTGCCAGAGATCCAACAATGGTTCCAAACAACATGGAAGAACCAAATCCAGCTATGAAGAGCTGCCCAATATCACCTTTCCCAAAGCCATACGTACTGTATAGATAGTAGACATATGGACCCTGCAACCAGTCACCAGCTGTTTGCCACATAGAAAATTGCAAAAGGATACATCATTGAAGGAATATTGTTACTGTTCTACTTTAAAAAATACAAATGAAAAGAGCAACATGATAAAGCATCACATAGCTATTGGAATAACAAAATTAAGCACTCAAATGAAGATGTTTTGGACAGAAACAAGATAAAAAAACAGAGGTGAATCTCAAAAACAACAAGAAGGCAATCTCAGCAGGACAGACTATCTAATAAATATATGATGTTACTTCACTTCACCATTTTTAACATATTCAATACTTCTGTTGCATCAACATGTCACAATTTCAAAATCCGGCACAAGTTTGAGTATGAACAAAATCTAAGTACGATCAAGATGTAGATCCACCAGAAAATCACTCCAAATCCTGTACGATGCATAGATTAGATCGCCGATATTCAGATCCAAAAACACAGCACTTCCAATAGCACGTTCAGGCATCCAAATATCAGATCGAACATCAAAATTTTGTAGCTACACCAAAGCAAACATAAATTAATCCTCTTCACACACATCTAACTCTAATGAAACTTAAACTGCGCCGCTATCAGTAGAGCGCTTTATTAAAAAAAACACTTCCAAAAAAATAATAATAACAAAAGCATTTCCCATTGTATTTTCAACTGAAAGGAAAAGCAGAATAGCAGGAAAGTACACCAAATCAAAACTGTGCAGCCAATGCCAAATCAAAACCGCACAGATCTGAAACCAGATTACAAGTTCACTTACCCATCATTAGCGAGTACACGAGCAAGTAATTGTTCTTGAAGGAATTGAAAGCGGAAGAAGTATTTATCCGATCCTTGTTACTCTTACTCAGCTCCAACGCCGCAACCACAGCTGCCAAACCTACAAACACCGTATAATAGAAAATCTCCATTTTTCTCTTCAACCACACCTCTCCACTGTCAGTTAAACCTTTCTGAGATTCGGACTAGAGAGAATTTTGATTATCGCAGACTCTCCGTCACATTTTCTGCTTAGATATAAGTATATATATATACAGAGAGAGGGGCGCGCGTAATGCAGGGTTGTACACACACTACAGCGTGTATTTGTGTGTACAAGTAGCTGAAGCACTGGACTGCATCGACGCGGTCTGTGAGTCTGACGGTGGTGCTGCTGCAGCAATATATTTATTCTTTCCATTTTTGTTTGCTTGCGATGCGACACGTGGCGAGCTGTGATTTGCTACGATGTGTCGGTAGGTGGACTTTAGCAAAGCGGATCAATCTAAGCCGTCGGATTTCCCCCTCGGAGGGGCCACCAATGGTCGGGATTTACGGGGATAAAACGGGTTTATACAACCACGACTTTCCACGACTGCGGAAGATATTTTAAAGTCGCATTTCACTGCCTGCCTTCAACGCAAGTATTTTATGCTAGATTCAGAATTACATTATTGAATACTAAAAATATTATCTTATTCTATAAGAATTAAGGGTGTTTGTTTAGGTGATTTGTAAAAAATTTTATTATTCATTAAATTTTTCTCCACTAAATATCAAATTAAATATATATTTTTTATATTATAATTAAAAATTAATTTTACATTCAAAATATCACATAACACTTATTTATATCACATCGTACAACTATTCAAATTCAAAATTTTTATTATTCAAATTCTACTTCAAAATCCAAATAGACTAAAAAAAAAAACACACCCAGGGTTTGTACTATTTAAATTCTTTATTTTCCAATATTTTTTCTCTCATAAAAAATCTTATTATACATTATTTTAATATCAAATTCAAACTAATATTTTTCATAGTACATCAAAATAAACATACCCTAAATTAAATTAAATTTTATATATTCTCAAATTGTATTATTCAGCAATGGGACTAATTAATTTACAGGCAATTACAGGTATATTTGTTTCGTAAAATATTTTGAAAAAATATTATTTAATGTGAAATATAAAAAATTGAATACATAATTTAAAAGGAATAAATAAATGTGATATATTATTTTTTTTTTTGATAAAATATATCAAAAAATATATAAAGAGAATACACCATTCGATTTCACATGTTATTTTTAAAAATAAAAATAAAAATAAAAATGTGTAGTACTTAATAAAGTCAAATAAATGGCCCTAGTGAATGAATGTCACATGGGATCTTCATCCACATCACAAAATTGGAGACCTAAGAAAGGACTTCACCCCATGCTGATTGATTGAAACATCTACAACCTTTCTTTGATAGTCAGGCATTTATTTTTTATATTTTCATATGTTATTTTTATATATTGATTAGGACAATTAACATAGTGCTAATAAATTTTTCAATTAACATTGTTTTTAACTGTAAACAAAAAAAATTAAAAATAGTTATTTAAATAAATACAACATATGTGGTGTTGAATGTTACAAACATATTTGAAGGGTGTGTTGTATTTACAATCTTATATATATATATATATATAGAGAGAGAGTACAATTAGTATATATTATAAAGGAATTTTGATATATATTGTTGGTTCATATGATGTTTTATTGTATATGTTGATGTATTTTTTCAACAAACAAAGAGTAAAATTAAAAGATATGGAAATATCCTCAAATTTGATTAATTAGTGTATGAGATTAGGAATCTCTAAACACGGTACATAAGAAAATTAACAGGAAAATAAAAATGCTGGAAATTTAAAGTGGTGATCCCCGAATCTGACTTTGCTTTTTTTTTTTTAAGTTAGATTGAAGATGTCTTCTCCAAAAAAAATCCAAATCCTTAAATATTCCTTCTTGGAACCGTCGTCTAGTTGGTTACAGCAACCGCCGTCAACCGCCCAAAAGAAATATTTTGAAACGTCGCATGGTCAGTTACAGAGACCGTCTCGCCAACTGCATAACCCAACCCAACCGACTAATCCAGCGACCAGTTAGTCGCTAGACCAAAAGACTCCTTGGCCGCCCCCACCAAGCAACCAAACTACTGTTCACTTAAGTGGGCAATCAATTACCGGACCTTACTTCGCCCCGAGCTCCGTAGCAGCCGACTTGCAGACTTTCCGACCTATGGACCATCCGATCCGCTAACCAACCGACCTGACTATCCGACCGCAGACCTTCCGATCTATGGACCATCCGACCCGCTAACCAACTGACCTGCCTATCCGACAGCAGACCTTCTGACCTGCCTATCCGACCGAGGACCTACCGACCTGCCTATCCGATCGCAGACCTTCCGACCTGTCTATCCGATCGAGGACCAACCGACCTACCTATCCGACCGCAGACCTTCCGACCTGCCGATCCGACGGAGGACCAAGACCAACCGACCTGAGCGCAAATTTTTCTTCTTTTCCACTTGACTTCTTGTCTAACTTCCTTTAAGATCCTGCTATCCTTATTTTTGTTATTATTATATTATTTTTGGTGCGTAACAGTATTATATTAGCATATATATCTTATAATATCTGCTTGTTTTTATTTTATGTGCTGTCGAATTATATTTATGTGATACTTATTGATTCTATTCAAGTGGTCCAATTTATACAGTGAGTTTTTAAGGTAAAAGGCTATGTAGTGTACCAGTCCTCTTTAATTTACAAGTAGTGAGTGTGAGAGATCAGATCCATACAAAATCAATGAATGAAAGAGCATAGCACATGATATATATATATATGACATGACCATGCAGACCATAAACATATATATATTTTTGTATCTATGTCATCATTGCTGAGGAAAGCAGCAGTAATGAGGGAATAGAACAGCAACTCAACAAGAAGAAGAAAGTACACATAAGAAGAATAACAACAGTCTAATACACAGCACATGCATGCAAAGAAAATAAAATTGACTTTCTGATAAAATAAAAAATAAAAAATAAAAAGAAAATTGACTTGTCCTGGGATGGACTTATGAACTTCCAGCGCCTTCCTATCACACATGGTTCGCCTAGTTTGCAAATTACTAAAATTGGCCAATAGTTTACTTAGAGCGTACTCGACGAGTAATGCTGCGGTTCCCATGTTATCACAAAAAAATAAGAAGAAATAAAAAGAAAGAAAATTGATTTGTTTTTGTCATGGGATGAACTTATGACCGTGAGATCATGAATTCAAACTTCCAACACCTTTATATTATGTCAGTCACACATAGTTCGCCTAACTTGCCTTGTCGGACCTAATTTACAAGCTATTAAAATTGGTTGATGGTTTACCCAGAGCATATTCGACGAGTAACGTTGCGGTTCCCATGTTATCACAAAAAAAAAAATAAAATTGATATATCGTAAAGAATGACTTGATGGTGTGGGAGTGAGCTCGTGACCGTAAAGTTATGAATTCAAACCTGTTATCTCGGGGTCTTGTTTACTATATATGATTTACCTAATGTGATTTGTCTTGTCGGACTTAATTTGTAGGTTATTAAGTTCGATTAGAAATTTATCCAAAGAGAACATTTTCAAATCTTATTTGAGACACATAATTCGTCTGATATGATTTATATAAGTAGTTACTGTGTCACATTATCTAAAATTTAAAAAAAAAATGATCACATCAAGAAATCAGCCGAACCCCATCATCTTTGGGACCATCTCTATTTATTGATACTTGCAAAAAGTAAGGAGTTGAAGCAATAATAGTAAAAAGTAAAAACTATTTTATGCAAATTAGGATATATGAGGTTGCAAATTCTTGTGATAATACAACAGTCCCATAAGGTTTGTTACAGCAGTTCCATATAATGTTTGTTTGTTTTGGATTTCTCTCATAATATACATTAATATTATAATATTATAATATACATTAATATTAAAGTACTTTTAACATTTACATAAATTAGACATATCTTTACATATACACATAAAGTATAAGAGACAAAAATATCAAAGTATTTTATACATTTTTACTAATCAATTAAAATATTTTTATGTTGTAAACTTCTACAAAAACATCAAGGGTGCATTAGTTTGGGGCGAAAAAAAGAGGTATTGTTTATTTTATGTTTTTTATTATAAAAGATAAAATATAATAATTATTATTTATTTTTATTAAAATTTATATTCAAAGATTTGAGCATACACATTTCAATTATAGGAAGAATATACTCTTTCCGTCTAATTGAAATGTTATCATTTTCTATTTTCATCTGTCAAAATAAGGTTATCATTTCCTAATTTAGTAATTATACTACCTACGTAACATAATAAATACTCTTTCAATTTACATTATATTACATAAATGTCGTTACTTTTATATTACACCATACTAATAGGGATATTTTTGTCTTTTTTTGTTACAATCCAATATAATACTAATATTAAAAAATCTATGTACAAAAAGCAAATGCCACCCTTCCAATGAAATGGAGGGAATATAATTTTTTTTTATTAAAAATAATAAAATTTTAAAGGAGACACGTCCATATAGTTGGTAATTACATAAATAAGTATTTGATCATGATATTTTAAATATAAAATTAATTTTTATATAATATAAAAAAATAAAAAATTATTATGATTATTATTTTTTAAAAAAAAAGGTATAGGTTGGACTACATTCAAACGCATCCTTTAAGGGTAGAATGTCTATTTCAATAAATGATGGACAATTAAGGATTATTGAATAAATTATTTGGAAGCCTTCATTTCAAAGAAATGCCCCACAACAAATTGTATTGGGTCATGATCATATATTATAAGACTATGTTTACTTTATAATTGATTCATTTCTATTTATATCATACCTTATACTACTAAAAAAATTAATTAGTTTACCAAAGTAACATACTCTATTTTGGTGAAAAATAAGTTTGGTAAACTATGTAAAAGTATATCTACATTCATTCCATCCCAAATAATTATGTCATATTTCATGTTTTTTGATTATTCATTAAATTTATCCATAATTTATTTATAATAAATAATTTTATTCACTTATAATTTCATTACTAATATTTTAACAAATAATTTTAATTTGTCGCTATTTTTTTACTTATAAATTATACTATTTTATTAACATTGTAATAGTTTTTTCATAATATCA